CCAGAGCCCACCAACATCGTCACTACAGTCTCAGTTACTGTGCGAATACTTCGCTCAGCGACACCGTTTTGAAACGAGGTGTAGGAGTCGTGTGCTGCGACAAGATGCCTTGAGTTCGGGCAAGCTTCCTGAAATCCTTGTTAATGAATTCAAATCTACCGTTGGTTCGTAGTTCCTTCAGGGACGTCGCTGAAACAGCAGCTTGTCTCTCAATCATAGCGAGGAATCATTTTACCATTGCAATGGTCTCAATTTTTCGTCTCGGCCCATACGTTTGCGCGAAGTCCGCAGACCAAATGGAAGACGCTTAGGTATTGGCTGGTTCAAGAATGGTCAGCGAGTATCAGGCTGTTCATCTTCCTTACGGGTTCAGCGCGCCCATCGCTTAAAACTTATCGGGTTGGTTTCGCTTACGCTACCTTTTAGGAAGCTGAAACGCCCTCATTGCCAAGTTCCGTTCGAATCTGACGAACCAAGAGATAACACCCCGAATTTACTCGGAGGGTAAACGCGCCTCGGAAGCGTATCAAGAGTATGAAGACATGCTGATGCAAATGGCGGATGGTCTTTCAGGTGGCCCACTTCACCAATGCACATCGCGCACTGAGTACTTTCCTGCGATTGGCATGACCACAAAGGAAATACATCGTACAAGCTCGCGCTCCCAGTAAATTGGGTACACCTACGGAGGTATTGAATGACGCGGTTTGGTGACGCTTGAATGACTACAAGAGGCGGAAACTAACGGACGGCTCACGTGCGCCGAGAGGGGACGCTTAAGCAATACCGACAGATGCTTCGTTCAAGATACTAAGATTTCATGCCAAGCCTTCTCGAGCAAAGATAATCTGACCGTTCTTGAGCGCAAACGCAACTCAGCAAATGCACCTCGTCATGGAGACGTGGTTTGGTTTATCTGCAGGAAGGAGGAACATACTCCCAGTATCATCGTCAACACCTCCGTGCAGAGAAGGCTGAAACGAGGGACTCACGAGCTCAAAGCAACGTGGCCAAAGCTGAAGATACTGTGGGTGTCTCCGCTGACGATTTGGATGAAGACTCGGCTTGAAGGTTGGACGTTAGGTGCTGCCCGATCTGAGTCGACTCGGGCGCGTCACATCGCCTGACGAGACAACAAAATGGGTTTGAAGTGACGGATGATTGGCTATTCAAGTAGCGGACGGTCGGACCGTGGTCACTCGAGCGATAGAGCTCTCGTTCAGGACAATGCCGAAGTAAGATTGAAAGGAATTCGTGGTGAATGGCATCTACTCCGTACCTGAATTGCCGCACACACTGCTGTCCGTGTCGGCTGTGTGGCGCGATGGACATACGGTGAGCTTTGGGCCCTTCAGCTACACTGTATTTTCAGGACGACGAAGCCCGGCGAACTGCATTGCGCCCCTCGAAAGGGGCATATATTCTATGGTAATGACCGATCTTGGAGGTGTCAATACGGACATTGCTCACGGATTGAGC